TGCACAATACAAATACATTGAAGTCCCCCCATAGCTCATGTTCAGCTCGCATTCATAGCTTTCTACCTCAATCACCATCTCTTTCCGTTGAAATACACCACTATGAACATTTCCTTCCCATGAAAGAACTTTTTCTTCACTAAAATCAGATTCGACAAAAAACCTCTCCATTTACCCATTTTCACAAACACCACATCTCCACTAGTAAAAGCACCAACAGCTCCAAACCCCCCTCAGACCAGCAATCTCCACTCTCTCTCATCGTCATCCTTCACCATTTTCTTCACCACTGAAACGCCTCTTCAGCCGTAAACTATCAACACCCAATAAAGCAAAAATGAGATATGGCGTACTAAACATTACAACACTACATTGTTTAAAACATTTGAGAATTGAATAATAGGTTATTGGTACAACATTTACCTTTGTATCTCTTCAACAGATATAAGATTGGGAGCATTTATTATCCTGCAACATTTAACAAGGGACCGCTGAAATCCCATGGATCGCTGAAATCCGTCATGGCCTTGGACTTGCTCTTTGAACCTTTGTGCTGAAACATTGACGTACTGTTTTACATTGACAAAACCCACTTTCCTAAGTAACTTATTACGTAATTAATTTAACTAAAAAGATCAGTTGAATGCACTGACTTAGCTTATTCAAGATTAAGGATGATTACCCTCTAACTTACTTAATTAGCCTTTGATTATGACAGCCTAGTGCTACATTCATAAAAGCCAAAGTTGGTGGAAACTGTTTTACTTGCAAAAGCAATAATATCCTGGCAAAAATGTCAAAAAAGCTAATGTTGATCCAACCCCGATCAAGTGAAGATCTAATCAATTTTTCAGTCTTATAATTCTAATACGTAGGTATTTGTGACCTATATATTGTCAGAGGTATAATACCGATCCAATTTTACTGCAAAGGAAAAAAAAAGTGTAAATGATTTTGTTCAAACGACTCAATAACGGAAGAACAAAGATATAATTTCTCTATGCATGTGATAATTATTTAACTTCCATAGAATAGAAGCTAATTAACGGCTTCATAAATATTCCACGGGTAGGATTAATCAACAGCTGAGCAATAAGCTAGTAGCTAACTGTGGTTAATTTTAATGTGATATTGAACTACAGTTAGAAAGTTAGTTGACAGTTAAGTATGTATTATAAGCAGTAGTCGACTCTGTACAGTTGTCCAGCTTTTCAGAAATGCATGTAGCTCTTCTCTGATTTCTTCTTCTTCTTCTTCCAGATTCTTCTTAGCTTTGATTTCCATATCCATAGCAGCTAATATGGTGTCAGAGCCACTGGTTGAAATCCAAGCTAATTTGCGAGCAAATCTCATCTTCTCTGTTACTTCAATTCTGCAATTGAGTGCTGAATTGAGCTAGAGTTAACCTTCGATTGAAGCTAGGGTTCGTGAGCTACTTCTTCTAAAGCTATTTCTCAGTCAATAATGGCGGTTGAAGATGTTAGATCTAGTTTTCATGATGCAAATAAGATATCTATGCAGGAAATCAATTATAGAAGAACAAGGAATCAAGAAGATACTACAAGATCGCTGAAGTCAATCTTGATGCTTAAGGAAAGAAAACAATCAGCAAAGATTACAAATCAATCAACAAATCTAGATGCCTAAGGAAAGAAATCAATCAGCAAATTAATCAGCAAAGATTACGGAAAGCTGCGATGGAAAGAATCAAGCAAGCCTAAACTTAAGGCATTAATCAAGGCCAGCATATCCGGAAAACCGAAGATTCTGTGAAGACTTGCTAAGCGGCTAATTTCGAAAGGACCAACAATCAAGGAGTAAATTTTCATCATAAACAACTGTTGAAGGAAGGATATCAAGGAACAGCAACGGCTAGCTATCTTATTCTTGGAAAGAATCAATCTCTTTCCAAGGATCAAATCTCTTG